GACACGCTACAGGTTTTCAGTGTCTCCCCATAAGAAGTTAACGTTAATGCATGCTTTTGTCATTGTTGCACCAAGTTCCTGGTTGCATTGGCTCAGAAAAGATGACATTACCAAAAGCCACAGGTACCGGCCTGGCTTTCCATTTAACTGCAGTTGTGATCTTTGGAGGTATGAAGCTGGGAGGCCCGGTCGGTAACCTCATCTCCTGGAGAGCCCTTCTGGTATCCTGCCCTTTACCCTCGGGCTTATTGGCTGAAAGAAAATGTCACTTCGGAGGAACCCTGTTCATTTTGAAAGAGTAGCTGCCTCTGCTCATCATAAGCTTTACTGTACTTCCTGCCTCGGCATATTTTACAGTCTTGAGAGGCAGGGAAAGGAAAGGAGGCTGTTTCCCTTTTCTTAGCTGGACCTACTAAGTAATTAGTTTCAGTTCTGCTTTTGGAACAACATAGTCTGTGAGGTTGTCACCACTTTCTGAGAGGAATGCATTTTAGCTGCGAGGAGGGAGTAATGAGGGGACCAAATTTCATTGCTCTTGCATCTTGTGGGGATGTATACAGAAGAGAACGAACGTTTGTACTGAAGCTGCCATGTGATACCGCTCTTGGCTAATAATGAACAGAAGAGCGCAGAAGTGTCTAGAATATAGAAAACCCCAAATGGTGATAAATGATTTACCATCTTTCGTGTTTCTTCCCTGAAGGCACAGGATTGCATTTTATTTAGAATATATTACTTAATATTAAGAATATAGGAGCCATTTTCACTGTAATGTGCCAAATATATGCTGTTTGTCAAATATATGCCTTCTGACAAATATAAACAAACATGATCTCTTTGAAGTGCTGTTGTTGCTAATACTTCTACCTCCTTTTTCATTTGAGGAGCTCTGTTCTTAAAGCCTCACAAATACACAGCAGAGTAGTCAGAGTAAGTAGGATCTCTCCCATACCAATGTGCTGTTTGTGGCACGAGGGCATGGAGGATGCCAGCCCCGTCCTGTAAGGTCTGAGCCAAAGTCTGTGAATGTCCTGAAGAAAATTGCTTTGATGTCAGTAGCCGTTGGATTAGCTATGTAGCAAATCAAATGCAAAGCCTGGGTACACAAACCTCCTAGTACTTTTTCTGGACTTGCTAATATTAGACTGTGCCCACAGATCGTTGATTTTTTGCTTTAGTTAGCCTTGGCTTAGTTAGGCTCCTTGGCTACCAGTTTGGTTTTGTGCTTCATTTTACGCTACGATTTCTCTGCGTATCTCCTAGCTGGCGCTTCCTGGTTTTGGCTGGGGTGGAAAAGGAAATAATGCGAGAGACAGTCTTTGCAACCCATTTCACACCCTCCGATATCAGGAAGGGCTGGAAGCAGCATGAGGGAGCCCATTCTCACGCTATTTCCTGCTGCTGGCCGTGCCGGCTTGTCTCCTGCCGCCTGCCATTTCAGGGGAGGAGAAAGCACGGGGAGGTGGCTGGTCTAGGTGCAGAGTCACAGTTCCCAAACTTCAGCACCAGCAGAGCCCCTCCGATAGCTTGAAACTGCCCGGCTGCTCCAGAAGAGTTCTATGAGAAGTGGTTTTGAAGGTGTTTGTTTTTAAAATGCCTATCAAAGAAAGCGGGGCAGTGTAGCTATTAGCTGACTGCTGTGCAGGGCTGCTAAAGGATCAGC